AAGAAAGAAAGAAAGAAAGAAAGAAAGAAAGAAAGAAAGAAAGAAAAAAAGAGAGAGAAAGATTAGAGTTGGGAGAGGGAAGAGGAAGAGAAAGCACAAGTAAAGGACAGAGGAGGGGTGAGGGAGGGCAGGAGAGAGCCTGGGGGAGGCGGGGAGATCCTAGGGCTGCTTGCTTGCTCAAGGCTTCACAACCCGCGGGATTAGAATCCAGGTGTCTGTCTCTTCCCGATTTCTGTCTGCCCTTCCCTTTCCCAGTGCACAACAGGGAATGAGAATAACCTTCAACACTTCTCAGAGATTTCAAGTCCTGCCCGTCTTTCAAAGCCAGTTCCCACGCATTAGCCCCCAAAGTAAAAGGCAGTTTCTGCAGAATAACCACTGCGTGCATGCGTGCGTGCTGAGCCAGGCCCAGCCCATCCTCGGGCACAGGCACCTGGTCACCCTGCCTGCCCTGTGCTTCCCCCACTCTCCCAACTCCTCTGGGAGAGGAGGGCAAGGGCGTGGGCGGTGAGACCTCTCCCTCCCAGCTGGCTCTCGGCTGGGTGGCCTGTCACATTAGCTTTGCGTCTTCCCTAATCCTCTCTGCCAGCTGACTGGTTCCACACACACACACACACACACACACACACACACACACACACACATGCAGGCAGCCCTCAGCTAGCCTATTCCTTCTGATCACTTGGTCAAACCTCATCTCCAGAGCTGGCCCAGAATGTTCAGCCCTGTCTGGGGGCATCAGGCCGGGCCATGGAGAGGTCCATAGCAGGCAGAGGAAGTATGGCTGGTGAGCCCCCTCCGGCAGGTTCTGCAACTGGGCCTGGGCCCCTGCCTCCGCCCAGGGCTCCACTGGGCTGGGCTCCCTTCCCCAGTTAATGAGTTCAGGAATGCACCCAGGGTTGGGCTTCCTCTTTGAGCCGAATGGTGCCCCAGGCTCTGTCTCGCCTGCAGACCTGCGTGTTCCTCCTCAGACTGCATCCAGCAGCAAAGGTAAGCTGGCCTGCACAGTTCTGTTATGAAACAGGATGAACATCTGCCAGCCTGCCATGCAGAAAGCTGCAGACCGAGGCTGGAGTTTGCTTCTGGCCCTGCTCTCAGTCCACCATGCTGTGTCCACCTCAGAGCTGAGGCACAGGTCAGAATAACCGCATCCTCTCAAGTCCTGCTTGGTTCCAAGGGTCCCTCTGAGCCCCAGCTTGGGCAGGTGGGCTGGGGCTCAGGACCTGAATCTAGTATGAAGCTGACGGGGCCCTGACTCCTGGCTCCTCCTTGCTCCTTTGTGTCCACCACACACTCTCTGTGACAGCTGCCTTCCGGTCTGAAGCAACAGAACCCTGCACGCACCCCCCAAAACCGGGAGCCATGGTGCCTTGTGAGTTGAGTACCTTGGATATTTTGTCACAGTACTTCAGAGCTGAGTAGCACAGGCATCCAAGCCCCACACAAGTCCTCACCTCTATACCTGGGCTCTGTCCACAACCTCCTCCCAACCTCTGTAACCCCATTCACTGTCGTGTGATTTCTTTTTTACTGGTTAATTGATGGATTGTGCTGGGGATTGAAGGCAGGCCTTTGTACTGAACTACATCCTTAGCCTTTTAAATTTTTTTTTTAGGCAGGGTCTCTAACTTGCTAAGTTGCCCAGGCTAGGTTTGAACTTGTGATCCTCCTGTCTCAGCTTCCCAGAGTGCTGGGATTACAGACATGCTATTATACTTCGCTGTCATATGTTTTCAACACAGTCAGATCTTCATGTGTATTTCTCATACCTCTGGCACCTTGTTGAATAAAACATTTCCTTTTAAGCCAATATGGTCTCTGTTTTCCTGACAATAACATTAAAGCACTGCTAAATGAACTTAGCACGAACAGAATCCCTCACAGGATACATTCCCTGTGCTCCCATAGCACAATAAACAACGAAAACAGAATTCCAGGTTGCGCCGGAAAGAGCAGATGCTGTCAAAGCCTCTAGTCACATCCTCCTGCATCATCCATCATGCACTCAATAATCCCTTGCAGCATTCCAGCCTCAGCTTCTCTTTGGCTCATGGAGGGAGTGTGGGTATGGGGTGTGGGGGTATGGAGATGCTGGAGAGTTAACTCTCCTGGGGAGTACACCCTGTAACAGCTCTGGGGTCTCTTTAAGGGGTCTCCCGCTGGACTGAGTAGAAAGATACTGGCTGACATACCCTGCTCTAGAGACCAGCACGCAGAGAATGCACATGCCATTATCATAAGAGAGGGCTGGCCAATTGGCTTATGGCACCAGATGCTGCATGGTCTCCTGGAAACTAGAGAGACCAGGAAACTAGCCCAAGAAGCTGAAAGCCTTAGCACAAGAGGGACAGGGATGCAGCCCTAGGCCAAAGGTGAACATCTCAAAGCTCCCTGAAGACTCATGGTTGCAAGTCCACAATCAAAGATTGAAGTTTGGCATCTGATGTCTTCAGGCAAAGGTGGCGGCAAAAGCAAAATCAAACAAGCTCCATGCATTCAAGAAGGGCCCAGCAGCACTTCCTTCCCTCTCTGTCTGTTCTTTGTTCCTTCTAGGCCTCCAGTGTTACACAGTGAACCCCATTTTTAGGGAGGTCACTGACCCAGCCAGTCATCCATGGACACAGCCACGCTCGGGTGTCTTTCAGACCCTGCCACAAGGCCACCCAGATTAGCAGCCCAGCTGGCCTCTTCTCTCTAGTGCCGCTCTGCACTTGAGCTCCCTGTCATCCACTGTGCTTGAGCCTTTGTCAAAGGATTTGCTTCTCGGAGATCTTGCCATTTAAACCCCTATTTGGGCCAAATACATGTGATACCTTCCTAAAATTCACCCTCTGAAACTTTACCTCTCACAGTGAAGGTGTGAAAGAGTGGACAGGGCACAACCAGGATCTGCACCCTGATACGGGAGACCCCAGGGAGAGATCACATTTGAATCTTCCACAGCAAGACGCTCCCTGTGGGGGAGAGGGCAGAGCCCTGACATCCATGTTTCCTGCAGCCTCTAGAGCTTGAGAAATGAACTTCTGTGCATGTAAACTACCCAGCTTGTGATGTTTTATTATAGCTGCCCACATGGAGGAGGCCACACTGTTTGCCAAGAATCTGGCACACAGTCTCCTCATTTATATCTGGAAAGGGAAGGAAAACAACGGGCTGGTTTTCTCTATTTGTATCAGTCCATGTTTGCAGTCCAAAGGGTTGCACTCACTGGAGGGCGTTGGTCAAGGCGCGCTTCTAGATTCATTGTCTACACTAGATCATGATACCTTTGCTCTGCATCCACATGTATCTCTATAGCTCTATAATCTATATCTGTATCATTTTAAGACAACAGAGTCTTAGAGTAAAGACCCTAAAGATATCTGTCACAGCACCAGATTCAGAGCTGTGACACCTTGCAGGACTGGTCATGTTCTGTTCCATATTGCTTATGGGTCATCTAAAGACATTAAAACAGAAATCCTTTCCTGAAGCTACCCATCGGCTGAGTGACAGAGCAGAGCAGACTCTAGGCCAGTAACTCTCAAGTTCTAGTTGGACCCTCCATTGCCAGGTTGCTGTGAAAGGGTTTAAGAAGATGACACATTCCAGTGGAGCCACCAGTTACCTCCAAAAGGAGAACCAATCAGGGCAGTCTCCCTTGAACCTTGTGAGAACTTGGAGTCGAAAGCACACAGCCTGTTTTAGAGTCAGGTGTTATTCAGCTTTGAAGCTCATGTCCAGTGGCAGTCGATTCTAGAAGCAATAATCTAAGCGATTCAGTCCCAGGGGACTTTGCCACAATTACAGTCACCCAAATAGGAGCCACACCTCCAGATCACCTCAGAGTCTCGCTCAAGGACAGTCAGGGCGTTTTTGCAGAAAATGGAAAGTATTAACTTCAGTTGAGCAGTCCCTTATTTAGGAAGGGTCACATGCAGCTCAAAAAGCTCCACCCTGAATGTCATATATTTTCTGTAACACTTGGCACAAAGCAATGTGACTTTCAGGGACATCAAGACATAAGTAGGGCTGTTGAGAGTGGGTATGGGCTTCTCTCACACGCAAAGGGGCCCATGCAGATGCATGGCCCTAACCAAGCCCAGCCCTCCGTGTGCCCTGCAGGCCCCTCTGCTTTGCCCTGTGGGTGCAGACACATCAGAGCAATAAGAAAGCACCCTTCCCTGCAGAGCAGGAAGCTGTTTTTAGAGCTGTGAATCTATCTGCATTCAAGCGAAAGCATTTTGATTATGCATTGTGAAGGTGAAATGGAAGCAAGTGAAAATAACCTTTAGTGCAGGTCCCAAACACCTCCACAGGTGATATGGGTCTGCACATGCAGAGAGGTGTGGGGTGTGAACCGAGAACCTGAATGGCTTGGCAGGCTTCTTGGTGGAACTGAAGAGTGGGCTGGAAGCTCCTTCTCTTCAATCCTGCAGTTCCCCTCCCTGCCATCCCCTCGCCAGGCAGAAAGCGAACAACAGGCACAAAGACTTTCCCTTCACCACTATGTATGTGACTAAACACCGGGAGCGATTGAGTTGGATAGATCATGGCGCATCCATCCTGTGGGAAGGGACCTGTCCTGAACCAGTTCCTGAATGAATTGGGTTTGAAAATGGCCGCAAATTCTCAGACATTTACCTCATCCAAAGGTGGTGTGTTCTCTTCCTGGGATAGAGGGACCTCCTGTTTTTAGGGTTTCCAAGCCTTCAACTTGGAGGCTGAGGGAGAGAAGGCAGCACAGCCTCTGTGGGTCTCTCCTAGAATGCTTGTGTGCTATGTGAACAGGGGCTGGGAGACAGCAATGCCCAGGAAGCCCAGCTCTTTGAATAAACCCAGCCCAGACCTCATCAAGCAGCCCAGTGCCAGCCCCTCCCTGAGGAGCCCTGAGTGAGCCCTGAGGAGCCTGCCAGGCAAGGCTGCTCAGCTCACGCCAGAGGGGACTGCATTCTTGGGCTGGCCTGAACATCCTTTGGGGGTGAGTGTTAGATGTCGGTACACAGAGAAGGCAGAGCCAAAGCAGTTTAGAACTTTTTTCAAGGTCGCAGCAGTAAGGAAAACCTGACCTAGGGACCTCAGAGCAGGGCTTCTATTCTGCATTCTCAGAATGAGTTGTGACTGTGTTCTCAGGGTGTGGCCCTCACTGTGACTTTGGGGTCCGGCTGTGAGAAGCCCGGAGTCTTTCCCTTCACTACATGGAACCCCTCGCATGGACTGCTGCACCGTCATCCACCTTCGCACAGCACTTGGGTCCCTGGAGTTAGATCAGGATCACGCAGCAGAGGCTGCCGAAGACGGGAGTGTGGGGCTTCACAGCTCAACAGACCCCTCTCCTGGCTGCCTGCCACCTGGCTCTCAGGGAAGTAGCCACCTTCCCCTCTCCCCAGTGGCTGTGTCTCCACCTCCAAGACTGCACCCCTGCTGTGTTGGGTCTGAAGGGCTGCACCCTGGCACCTGCCCACAGACACAGCCCTTGGTCCCCATGACCCAACACACGGTCTGGCTCCCCCACCTGCCTGGCCTCTGTCTTTACCTGAGCAGATAAGATAATGCCCAGTCCTAACCCTCAGCATCTGTGAATGTGACACTGTTTGGGCAAATAGAGTTTTTTCAAATATAATTAAGGCTCTTGAGATAGACCTATTGGCTTTAGGAGGGGCCTGGTGCTTTTAGAAGGGTGAAGAGAGGGAGATGTGAGACACAGTGGTGGAGACCACATGCAGAGGGAGGCAGAGATGGGCGCAGCATTGCCACCAGCATAAGGCACGTGGAAGACGCCAGGAGTGGCCTGGTGATGCTGGGGGCCTCTAGAAGGAACCAGCTACAGAAACCCTTTGCCACTGAGCCTCTGGCTCCAGAACAATGAAGATTTGTTTCTGCACTTAAACTACCTTCCTGTAGGCACATGTGCCACACAGTGTGCGTGGGGAAAGTTCACTCCACCTCGTCTCAGGGGTAGCAAGGTGACAGCTGCAGGATAGTCCAGGGCAGGAGGTCCCCAGGGAGGGAACTTGGAGACTGATGTCTTAGTCAGCTCCCCAGGCTGCATGCCTGGTCCTCTTTTCAACTCTCAGGAGAGCCTTCTGGCAGTGGCGTCCATCCTGCTGTACCTGGGAATCAAGGACAGAGTCTGAGGAACAGGCCCTGAGTGCCTCTCTCCTGATACTGGGGCAGCCAGAAGGGCTGGGCCTGCAGACGGCTTGGGGTCATGGCATCGAGGTGGCTCAGGACAGAGGGAAAAGGGGCACGGCCTTGAGCAAGGCTTTCCAAACACACACAGGCTGCACCCCAAGAAATCCTGTGAAAGCAGAGTAGCTGTTTGAGTAGTTAAAAAAGAACATGAACTTATTCTGTAACTACAGGCTAGTGAAGCCCAAGAAATGCAAGACAGTGAATATGTCTGCAAGGTCCACAAATAGCTAAGAAGCAGCATCCCAAAATAGCCACGAGGGTCATGCCGGGAGCTCAGTGTCGGGGACAGCCGCAGCCGCCCTTCCATCTCCTGCTCCCCCACCCCTCCTTTCTCCCCAACCTGCCACCCCCTCTCCTCCCTCCCCTTCCCTCAGTTTTTTCTCATCTCCTCTGTCTCTCCCTCTATTTCCAGACCCCCTGGATCCTCTGCAGGCCGAGGCCCCTTCAGGTGCATCTCCCAGGGTCCTGTAGCAGCAGCCGCAATAATGAATGGGATTCCTGCAAGCTGTGGTTCCCACCACCAAGGTCGTACTGCTGGCAGAGCTGGGTGACTCGAACTCACCGTCTAGCCTGGCATACTTCTGAGAGTAGTGGCTTCACAGGGCAGGACGTGGGAGCCACGACCATCCCCTGAGGGCCAAGACATTTGGTCGCCCAGCTCTGAAAATTGCTGAGAGTCTCATTAGGCAGAAGAGAAAGTCACATGGTCAGCAGGAAAAGATGGGGTGTGCTGCATAACTGGGGAGATACTTGCTGTCCCACTCAGGGGTAGAGTATCAGCTGAGAGCTCACCGTAAGGTTTTGATATGAAGCCAAAGGACTAGTTTGTATTCCCAATGATTAAAGCATCAATGATTAAAGTATCACATCAACAAGACAAAAAAGAATAGACGCATACAAGGCAGGTGTGATAGTACACATTTGTAATCTCACTAGGGAAGCTGAGGCAGGAAGGTTGCTGCAAGTTTGAGGCCATCCTGGGCTACACAGTAAGTTCAAGGCCAGCCTAAACTACGTAGTGCTACCACGTCTCAAAAAACCAAAACAAATAGAAACACACAATTACATCAACAAGTGGGAAAAGATTTTTCATAAAATCCTGTTACTAATAAAAAAAATGTACTCTATGAGTTAAGATTAGAACAATGTTTTCTTAACATAATTAAGGTGTCTATCTCAAAATACTAATCACAACATTAAATTTAATGAGCATTAGGATAGTTACCATTAAAATGAGAACCAAGGAGCTCTTCTGTCCCTTTGTAATGAACCACTGTTCTGGAGGTCCTAGTTCATGCAGTAAAGAAAACAAGACAAAATTATGAGAGAGCACAAAGTTACACTCATTGTTCAGGCAGTACCATTTCCCACCTGGAGGAGAGACATTAGGTTTTATAATAGAGAACTATTATAAAATGAACATATAAATATCAACAACATCTTTAATTATTATCTATAGGCAGTTAGAAAATATGATGGAAATATATATATTTGATATGAATATATTTGTATACATAAACACACATTTGTGGATGTATTCTTATTTGAAAATGGGCATTAATAAAACTATATTTTTTTAAAAGAAGAAGTTATAAAAAGACATCCTGACTTCAGTAATAAGTAAAGACATAAAAATGTGATCCAAACACATCAGATTTGATGACCTCCCAAATTACATTATAAATTTGATGATTTCAAATTTGGAAGCTTCTTTATTTTAAAGAATCTTACTGTGTAGCCCAGGATGGCCTCAAACTTGCAGCAACTTTTCTGCCTCAGCTTCCCTAGAAATATCTTGCTTCTTAATAAATAAAAGTAATCTGACAAAAAAATATACAAGACCTTTAAGAAAAAAAGCTAATATTCATTGAAAAACCTAAAAGAAGACTTTAATAATCACAAATATGGGGCATTTTCTTCTGGAGGCAGAAGCTGATTTTGCAAAGATTTTCTTAACCTCACAAGAAATGACTACACTTTACAACAATTGATTTTTCTACTGGAAGGTTTTGTGAAGGAACACAGGCAAGTGAAGATGCGGGAAGAGGCGAGTCAGGCCACTCCTCAGAGCCCAGCGCAGTGGCTGTGAGCCTCCCTAGTGGGGCTGCAGCTCTCAAGGCCCTGCTCGCCCACCTGAGCTTCCCACTGAGCCCTAATTACTCGCCAGAGATAGAGAGACACCAAACTTTGGCACCAACTGCTTTTCAAAGTGGTGGGCACTTGAACCTGACCACTGTTTTTGGGCTGGCTGTTTTTGCCTTCTGATAAAACTTCCCAGATCAACCCCGGAATGAGCAAGAACCCAGCCTGTGCAGGGAACCAGGCTTGCACTGGGCCATGCTGGGCACTGTGGTGAGTGTCGGACCCTGAAGAGCAGGCCAAGGCTAGGGAGGAAACGATGGGCCGCTCTGGCCAGCCCCACACTGGGAGGGCCCCGGCATGACTTTCCAGCTGACCCTCCCCTGCCATGCAACCGAGCAGGCAGTGTCAGAGGCTGCACCGTGGATGTGAAGTCTTTGCCCGTTTCCTGCCAGCTCTGGTGGATGATCAGTCTGTGAGACTGAAAAGCCAGTCGTGGGAAGCCACCACAGTCCTGGAAGCATGAGCCACTGCAGGATGGCCAGGCCCACACTGACCACGCTGCCGGCCACCAGAGTTGCCATTTCATAGTAAGATCAGCAGCAAGATTCCCAGTGGGCCCTGCAAAGCTCCCAACTTTGTTACTCTGAGAGTAGCACAGGTGTCCCTCCTTTTAGTCACACCAGGTGACAGTCCCAGAAGGCATGGCATCGCTGGAAGGTGCAAAGCTGCGTGCTCCGTGGGTGCACCTGCAGCTCATGTTCCAGTGAACATCTGTTTACATTCACGACGGACTCATCTGTTTTGAGCTGCGCACCGCAGCTGATGCTTGAGAAGCTGTTCATGCCTCTCCATGAGGCTGAGATCCAGTGGAAGGCACCCCTTTGGCAGTGTGGAAGCATCTCCAAAATATGCCAGCAAGGCCCCTCACCAAGGGCTCAGCCCGAGAAGCCTCCTGTTCTGCACACAAAGCAGGGCCCCTAGAAGCCAGCACTTCCCACTTTGGAGGGGATGCTGTTTTCTAAGGTTACCTTGGAGCCAGACACCAGGTGGAGTGGGGGGACCATGACGCTGCTGTCACACCCTGCCCTCCTCCTCACTCTCCTTTGCCCCCTGCCACTTCCTAGCCTGGGGAAACTTGTCCTCAGTGTCCTGTCTGCTCTCTACCTGGGGCTCCTCTCCTCTGATCCACTCCAACATGTTGCAGCTCACCCCCCCCACTCAGATGCTACCGTTGCCTTTCCAAAGAAGGGAGGGGGCACCAAGAGGTGGCTGAGATCAGAGAAGGAGGGACCTGGGCCTTCTGTTAACATCTCCACCTCCTGCATGGCGAGGCTTCCAGAAAATTCCCTGGTTTCAGTCCTGCACCTTCTGGATGGTTGCTTTGACATCTATGGCTGTACTGGAGTCTTGCACCAACCACGGATTTGTACTTGGACCAATTATAGGCCTGCAACTGCCATCTAAGCAGCAATCTCCTGCCACTTCTCTGGTTAGTCTAGGAAATTCCCTCCAGCATAGTGACCTCCCTGGTAAAGACTCAATCTGGTGTTCCTGTAAATCTGGTAGTGATTTATTTCTCTGGTAGTGTGGTCCCAAAATTCCATAAAATTTGCTTGAGACTATTATCCTGAGTAGTGTGGGCAGAGCAGTCAGCTCAAAAAAAAGAGCAATAAACACTAAGATCTGTCACACAGAGAAGCTCCAGAAACCAGCAGCCAACACAGGTCAGCAGCTGAGACCACATGCATTGAACACATTATTCACACGAAGCTGTGACTGAAGTTTAAACAGTAACTTCCAGCACTTCTGCAATGAAGAGAGATTTGCCCCGTGAATCAAAAAGAGAGGGACTGTGCGTGCTGCATTTGGGGGCAGTACTCATGAGTCTAGCCAGCATCAGTCCTCACCGGTGGGACCTTGGAACCGGGCTAGGAACAGGTTCCATCTGCCCTGTGGCTTGTGACCTTGCAGTGGGGGAAGGAAGCCACCGTGAGGCTGTGACACACGGTCCCTGGATCTGCTGGGATTTCTCATTGTAAGGGATGATTGTCTCTCTCCTTGGCCATCCACATAACAGAAGGACCAGACCCTGGCAGCTCAAGCGAATGCGTGCTTTGTCTCAGCAGGTTCCTGGGGCACAGTGATGTGTGAACCACATGTTGAACTTCTGAAAATTGATTGTTAACACCCCAAAAATACCCCTAGCTGTTCCCATGTAAACCTGGCTCACTCCAAAACACTTGGAGATCTCAAATAGCCCCACACCATTTGTCTTAACTGTCACTGTGAATGTGATTCTCAGAGGCCACTGCATTCAGAGCTAGCCAAACTACCCATGGCTAACACTGCGTGGCTCTCTGTGCCCCATATGGTGCATGTCATCCGTGGACCTGAGTATCACAGAACTGCAGAACCCATTTCAGCTTCTTCCTCTGCCTCTGCCTCTGGCCTCTGAGCAGCTTACCCAAGGTATATGACTGGAACAAATGGAGACCAAAGCTGGACACAGAGGCTGCTAGACTGCTATTAATCAGGAGTACTAGTGGATGATTAGAGACCCAACTCCCTTCCCTTATTTAGCAAGCTCAGTAAATTAGTTTGAAATTCACTAGAGATACATTTCATCCAGATTCGTTAGGTAATAAAATGACAACCATATGAACATGCTGGAGAAAGGTATAATTACACGATCAGGTTGACTGGAAATAACTCTACAACTCTAACCAAGGACTGCTAACAACATCTGACACCAGGAAGGAGAGAAAGCCACTACACAGACTCCTCTGTGACTTAGAGTAGACAGAAGGGAAGCTCGTCTCCTCTTTGGATGCTCCGAGGCTGACACAGACGGAGGAGCAGATCGAGGCGCGGCACTGAGAATGAGTGCGTGGCTCCGAGCTGAGCCAGGCCCCGGCCACACCACCTGCTAGCAAATTACTTCTGAGAAATCACTTGGGCCCTGACAGTTTGCTCACACACTCAAATCAGTCTTCCTCATTAAAACTACGGGCAGATTATGAGGTGCCATGTCTTCAGAGTGCTGGAGAAGAGTCGGTATTCAGCGCAGCCACCATCACTCAGCGTCAATATCTGTAGCCAGGACATCAGAGTCTTCGACATTTCAGCAGGCAGGAATAGACCGCATGCTTACCCCAGGAGAATCTGAGATGGGTCACTCATTAAGGGGTAGATTTCCAAAGGTGAGGTCAAGCTTCACAGGATGCTAAAGGCAGTGCTGTAACTCAGGGTCCTGACAGCAGAGCTACTTACGCCCGTCAGGACAGGGAATCATGCCTGGGAAGCCACTTACAAGGACAGCCGTGCTGCATGGAGGTAACCCTGGTGGGGAGAGAGGATAAGCTCCCAGCAACCCTGGCTGGACCTGGCAAAAAGCCTGAGGGTCTAGAAGGCTCGCCCTGTGGCAGCTTCAAAAGCAGAAGCAGCACCAAGTGGGAAGGAGGTGACAGTGTCTCAGGCACAGGAAGATGTGAGGCTCAAATGTGTCACCCTGAATGGGGACAAAAGTAAACCCTTGCCTGCAGCTGTCAACTACACACAAGACCACAGGCACTTGTCATAACAGTGGCACCCAGACGCCCCTTTTCAGGGAGTTTGGTCAGCTACAATTCAAGGTCACCTGCTCACATTTCTGGCCAAATGCAGGGACTGTGACTATCTCCAAGGCCACAGCAGCTATACGTATCTAGAGCACAGGAAATGCCTGAGAAGAGGACCTCAGTGGCCTGGGAGACCTGCTCAGTGGACACATGTTGTATGCATGAGCACATTGGCTCACTGAAGCACAAGGTGATGGTGTCACAGATGTGCCAGGGATTGTCTTCAGAGTCCGCTGTTGACAGAGGATAGTTTGGTGGGCAGCAGCAGCATGGGACCCTGTGACAGTGTATGTTGAAGGCTGGAGAGAAGATTAGGAGACCTTGCTGTAGACAAGAATAACCAATGCATCATGTATCATGGGATCCTGGCCCTTCAAGCCAAGTTACCAAGAGAAAGACGACCTTACGGTTCCCAAGAACCCAGGGCATCCCAGGGGCAGAGTGCGGGCAGGGAGGCTGAGAAAAAAGGATAGTGGCAGCCAGCCTTCCCTTGGCATCACTGCTTGTGGCTGGGGACACTGAGGGCAGGTGCATACCAGGTCCTGCCTTGTTCAGGGCAGGGTGCCCCAAGCCATCTTCCCATCTTCCAGAAGGGAGCCACATGGAGGTGTGGGCGAGGGCATGTGTGGATGCTGAGCACAGGAATGCAGTAGAGAAGTATGTGGGCAGGGTGCCTCATGTGAGGGCTCCATCACCAGGGCAGGGGAAATCCACACAGTGGGTGGTGGGCAGTTTGAGGCTGCTGAGTTGACACTGGCAGGCCTGGACTCAGTCCTGCTCCTAACCCACCACGTGGCCACACATCAGCCTCTCAGCCATACGCCACCAGCAACATCTCGGGAAGCAGAAACCTCCGGAAGCTCAGGGGTCACCTTCAGGGAGTCTTCTCCCCATGAGTCCTGCACACTCAGGCGAGTGAGCCCAGTACCCAGCCTGACCTTCAGCAAGCTTTCGAACCAGGGCCAAGTCACTGAACACTTTGAGCCTCTGAGTCTGCGACTGTGGCCTCCTTCCACAGGGTTCTGAGGAGCAAACGAAGTGGCCATGGAGCAGACGTCGGGGTAAGAGTGCCTGTCCTCTTCCTTCTCTATGCCTCTTTGATGCTTTGCAGAGGAGTCGACAGGGGCCACCTCACTCAGCAGCCGCAGGGGCTCTGGCAAGAGAGGCCTGAGTCCAGCTGGGATGACCACCAGGGTCTGACAGCTGGGCGGTGGCCTGGAACCGCCCAGGTCTGAGTCCCCTTTGCGAAGTTCCCTTTGGGTAAGAAAGTCCAGCCAAGCTGTCCCCCACCCCCGGCTGGGCAGCCTCCCTAGAACTCCCTCGTTTCCTTAGGGATTCGAGGACTTCACCGTCCTCAGCCATGACCTGTCTCAGCCCACAGCCCCGGCTCACCTGGAGGCAGACGAGAGAGGCCGCGCACGGGCAGGCGGAGGCGCAGGCACCTTCCGCCCGCATCCCGGGCAGCGCCTCGGCCGGACTCCGCGGACCGGGAGGGAGAGCGACAGCGCGCCCCCTGCGGAGCCCTCGCCCGCCACCAGGGGGCGCCCGCACCCCGCCTTAGCCCGGAACCGCCCTGCGCCCAGGGAACTGGGGCGGGCACCTAATCGGGGGCCGCGGCGGGCTTCCCGGTTGCCCTGGCGACTGGGCTCCTTCTCCGTCCGGTAGCACAGCACAGAGGGGCGACGCTGGCTCCCGGGTGGGTGGGAGTCCTGGGAGCAGACCCGGCCCTGGCCAAGACCCGCGCGTGCGCCTTCGGGCTGGCCCCTTCCCCCGGCGGTGCCGGGCTGTGTGCGAGTGTGCTCCACGCCGGCTCCCTGCGTGTGGGCCCCACAGCTCCTGCCCACTCCCGCCCAACCGTCTCCTAGCGACCGGCTGGAGCCCCTCCCCACAGAAACCCCCTCCACCCAACCCCGGAGAGCTCAGCCTGCAGTGAGCGAGGACGTGGGTGGCGATGGGCATCGCCGCAGCCCGGCTGCTTTCAGCCCTCAGGGTCCCCACAAGGGACACAGCCACCCCAGGCCCCAGTGAAAGTGCATCCTTCTCTCCGGAGCACAGGAGGTGAGGGCCGTGTGAGCCGTGGACTCACACAAGCTCGGGCCAGCGGGTGCACCCTTCCCACAAGCCTCCAGCCCTGCCCTCGCCCAGGGGAGAAGCAAGGGGTTATTAATGATGAGCTTTTGCTGACAATCAGAGGCCAGGGTGCCGGCCAAGCCTGAGGAGTATATGGGTTTGGGAGTCCACGGGAGGGACAGATTGTGTCAGGTCACAGAACAATGGCGTCAGAGACCACCTCGAATGGGCTGCGTGACTGGACCGACCTGGGAACCCAGCCCCCGCCCAGGTGGAGGCTGGCCGCCCAGTCCCCAAGCGAACCAGAAGAGCATAGAGCTTGCCAGTGGCTTTAGGGTGGGGAGGCTTTGTGTGGTCACCTTCTGCTTCTCCTGCTTTTAAGGGGCACATGGACCCAGGGGCTCTTTGGATAGACTGTCAGTCTGTGGGTGGCCAGAGGGTCTCACTCCTAACCAGCTGTCTGGTGGCACTGATGCTGCCCCGGGTTGCAGCCCATGCTCTGGGTCTCGAAGTTTCTCACAGCAGAGTCCACATTCTGCTCTTTTCTGAACCTGAGCACATCAAGAGGACGCTGGGCAGGATGGAGAGGTGATGTGGGCCACATTCCTTCAGAGTGTCCCTGGAGTAGCGTGACCTCACAGCCTCCCGAGACCTTTGATCACATCCCTGTGCTGCTCTCCGTCCCCTGGGGCCGCCCTGGTCCTCAGGAGTTGAGCACAGCTGAAGGCCTTGTGTCACCCGTTGGGAAATTAGTATCTGACAGCCAAAAGCCAGCACTAGATGCTGGGTCCTTCAGCTTCTGGATTTTGTCTTGGTTTTGCCTCTCCTGAGCCCTAAGGCCTTAAGGGAATCTCTGGGAGCATCAGTCTCTTCATTGACAAGTGAGGGTGGTGATCAGCACTGGGTGCTGTCAGGGATGTGGATGCCGCACTGAGAGACCATGTTTAGGGCATGCAAAGTGCTCAGTGCAGGTCAGTTATCATAAGCATTATTCTATCACTATTCAGGATCAGAAGCTATACAAAGCTAACTCTGTAGTAAAACTGCTTTTCCAGCCACCAGGAGCTGCTTCAGAGCCCGGAATTCATTGCACCTCAAAACCTCTTTCTCTCTGGGTGAGTCACCAGCTCACAAACCGTAGGAGATACCAGAGGACTCCTGCCCCCAATCCTCCTTTGTCACCCAAACAAAAACCTCAGGAAGCTTGAGAAGTGAGTCTGAGGTTAAGCGTGTGTGCCACGGCACAGTGACTACGCATTTAAAGAAGAGGCAGTATGGTGGCTTTCCCGGGGCTGCTGTGCAAAGCTCTGCAGACCCAAAGGCTTACAGAAAGAAGTTTATTCTGCCTCCATTCTGGAGGGCAAAAGTCTGGAATCAAGCTGTCAGCAGGGCCAGAGGCCCTGGAAAGAAATCTTTCCTTCCTCTCTCCCAGTGCCTGGTGGCTCCGGGTGTTCCTTGGCTTGCAGCTGTGTAACTCTGGGCTCGGCCTCCATCTTTGCACCCAGGACTTGTCTATGTCTTCTCTTTACAAAGGCAGCAGTCATTAATTCGAGCATCCACCCTAAATATGAGATGATCTCATCTCAAAATCTCTATTTGCCAGTCAGGTCTCATCCTGAAGTTCTGAGTAAATATAGATTATGGGAAGGTGCTATCCAACCTGCCACAGAAACACAGAGTCATCAACAGCCTTGCACCCATGCCTGGGCTATGGTCCAGCACACACTGTCCACACACATGTGGCATGTGTAGGAGAGAGGAGCATATCAGATGGAGAAGCACACCTTCCTTTCCATGACCGAAGAGGGAAGAGGCCTGGAGCAGAAGGAGTCTGGAGGACCTCACTTACCAATCCCCCAGGCTCAGGGGACATCCAGCTGCAAGGGACAAGCTTGGGGTATTGTTCAGGAAAGATGCAATTACTGTCTGCATCCTGATGATGCAGGAGGCAGGAACATCACAGATGCTACAAAAGCAGTGGTAAAGGGACACAGTGTGTGGTTCCATCAAGAGATGTTTCCAAAGGTGCATTCTCTCTACCCACAAGTCCCTGGAGTACAGCAGCTCCCTGAGACTCTGCTCCCAGCCCTGTCCCCATTCATCTCCTTCATCAGAGTACAGGGTGGACACTGGGCTGCCCAGATACAGCAAACAAGCTGGTCAGCAGGAGCAGACTTCCTCCCACCCTTCTTTCCTAGCTCCAGACATCACCATCTGGAGAGCACTTTCCTACCTGCTGTCACAGGGTTGAATGCAAGACCCTTCAGCCCTCAGTTCAGCACCTTCCTGCCCCTTCTCCAGCTGTTTTTCTCTTCTGTCCCACTTGGGCACTATCAACCTTGTGAGCTAAATCAGTAGGGATGAGGCTATGGTACTCATGTTGTTTTTCTTTTTAAGAAAAGAAGATGTTAATGTATGAGCTGTCTTTTCTAAAACCTCAGTATTCAGGTTTAATTATAGAGTTGGTACTTTGCTATAAATAAATCGATTTTGGGTTGCATTTTGGGCACTTGCCTCTAAAGGGTTCAATATCACTGGGCTAAGTCATTCTTGATACTGGTGGGAGGCTATGCTGCAGGTTGTAGAGCGTCTACTAGCTTCTACTTCATTGGCCCTACTCATGAGATGTCAGTGGCAGCTCCCAGTCTCCTGATTTGGGATGGTCAGATGTTATAGCTTTTCCCAGACAGGGCGTGACCCCTCAGGCAGCTACCACTCAAGTCAGAAAGTGCTGAGGAGCCACTGGGCTGGAGGACTGAGTTGAACTCAGTCTGATCCTGTGTTTTGACTAGCTTTTGTTGCTGGGACAAAGTACCTGATACCTACAGTTAAAGAAGAAAAGATTTATTTTGGCTCACAATTTGAGAAGGTTTCAGTCCTGTCAGCTGTCCCAAGGCAGGGGAGCACGGCAGAGAGACATCACAGAGGAGAAACAATCCATGACATAGCAAGCAGGAGCCAGGGGGCCTTCCTTTCTTTCCCAAAAGGGAAATAAAAATTCCCAAAGGGAATAAAAATTCCATCCAAGCTAAAAGCTAGGGTGGGTCTTCCCTCTTCAGGACTATGCTAAACCAGTTAGAGCACTAATTCAGTATCGCACATCCATGATGCACCTATGAGCACCTGAGGCTTTGGGCGACATCTAGATATAAGCCATATTGCCTGTGTGGGTGAGTTTCACCTGGTGACATCTTAAAGTTCTGCTTCACTCCATCACCAAACTAAATCTGAGCCTCTTTGTCCACAAAATAGAAATAATTATAGCATCTACTTCTTAGAACTTTTCAGGGAATTAAATGAAAACACATATAAAGGATCTAGCACTACAGCAGATAAATGTCACTATTACTTATAATATTATGGACAGATCTGGACCCATCAAGATTTTATCACCAGGTGTGCCTTAGGCAGCATGCAGAGATGATGATGTGTGGTTAAGCGTGCTTTCGCCACCATCCCCATTTTACAGAAAGAACTAAGGCTCCAAGCAGGTGATGACTTCCCCCAGGGCCATACAGGTGAGAAGCGAGAGGGCCAGAACTCAGCTGGTCAAGCCTTGTCTTCCTCTCCTGTGTGCTGCTGCATAGACTCTTCACAAACTGAACTGGAACTCCTCTTCTACTTCCTAAGTGAGGAGTGGGCGTGAGTTCACCAGTGAGCTGCTTAATGGTGTAGAAAGAAAAAGAGGAGAGGATTCCTGGTCAACAGCAGCGCCCCCGGCACTGTTTTCCTCTGGAAGACCTTTGGCCTTGTGCATCTTCACGAATGCATTTTACAGCCTGCAGGAGGGAACTGCTCCTGTTGCTCTGAAAGCTTCTAGCCATTCATTTCCATGATTAATTTTCAGATTATCCAGCCCATTGCATGTCTTTGTTCACACGCACTGCAGCCCTAAGGCCAGCAGGTCTGCTCTTGCTGTCACATCTGGTGTCAGGAGAAATAGCTTCCACAGCCCCTTCCATTGGGACAGGTGGAGATAGTGATCTCTTGGAGACACCTAGAGACAGGATGGACCCAGCAGCCAGGCAGGGCACTAGGAGGCCTCAGTCCAGCCTCATGCTCTAGACACTGAGGGTTGGTGAGCTCCAGCTCCTGCTCCTACCTAGCTGCTAGGTGCCAGGACTTAGCATCACTGCCCTCAAGCACAGCCGAGGACCAAGGGAAAAACTAAGTGACTAAGTGCTCATCATAGACTAGATGAGCCACCCACGGCCCCCCCTGAGAAGCAGGGCCTCTGTCCTAACCCTGTATTTTGCTTCTGGCTGTCTTTTTCTGTCTGAGTTCAGCAATACCTCTATTCCATTGTAGCCTCCAGAAGGAAATGTGGACTTGAAGACAGTGCTGGGCCTGTCTGCTGGCTCCCAGACCTGACACTGAGGGACATATGTGACAGGGTAATGCTGTGTGTCTGAGGCTGGCATGAGTGATGGGTACAAACCCCACACCAAGGACCAGTTCTGAGAGGTGCTGGGCATCTTGCATGTCATGTGAGCCCTATACTCTGATAGGCTGGGGTCAGGCATGCAAGGCCACAAGACACACCCAGGTTACTGCAGAGCCAGGGTCTAAGGAAGAGAGGCACAGAGGGCCTGAGAGCCAGCCTCTCGGCTGTGTGGCTGTCCCAAGACCGGGGTCACCTGCGAGCCCTAAGCGGTGTCTTTGCTTGGTCCAGAAGAGACTCAAGATAGCCTGGGAGCTGCAGACATTGGGAGAAGAGGGTGAAGCAGATAGGTTCAGAGCCAGCA